ACTCGATGGCACCTGACAACAACAACAACAGAGGGTTCCCGAGGCTGTGAATCTTTACAGGAGCAGAAAGCCTCATGTTTCTCCAGCGGAGTTGTTGGTAGATTTGAAATGTTGACAGAACTAGTAACCCACTATGCTGCCAGGACTCATTTGTAAGGTGGTTGTGGTTAAGTTCCAGTTCTGACTCATAGCCACCCTGTATAGGGTTTCCAGGGAGCAGCTGGTTAAGAGTACATGTTTATACAGCAGCAGCACACCAGGTAGCTACTCCTATTATTTCATTTTTTACACATTAGGAAATTGAGGTTTGGAGAGCTTGAGTAATAAATGCCTAACTTCTACATAGTTCTGTAGGTTACACTGTTCTGAGCCTCAGGAAATCAACTAGCTTCTCCTGCCGCTGTCATGTGACTGTACATTATCTGCAGGGTTTCCCTAGAGGAGAAAGGGGCTCACATCACCCCCATGCCAGGGGGAAGTGTTGTGACCAGTTCAACTTTAGGATTTGGAGTGGTCACCTTTGCTGCCTACACCTGCATTTGTCTACCACCACGTTGATGATTTCAACATCCACAGAGATTAGACTTCCAGACACTTCAATGGCTGTGCCCTGGGCTGTGTGTTACAAATAAATAAATGCAGCCCCTCCTCTTTCAGTCCACCCCTGACCCTCAGCAGTCTTCCACTCACTGAAACCCCAGTCATGGACCCTACCCTATTTCTACTGTCCCTCTCCCAACCTCCTGGTCCTCACTTCCTGTCTTACTCAGCTTAACTGCCATTGTCAATTACAGTCACATCCTTGTACACATTCTCAATTCCCTTGTCCCTCCTTTTCTCACTTTATTACACCTGCCCCGGTAACAATGCTCACAGTCCTGATGAGCAACTCCACCAATGGTGGGTTTGTCCCCAAGCAGCTAAATGTGGCTGCAGAAACTGCCCAACCATGGCAACCAGTCTCACTTAAAATCATGATCGTGAACCTCAAGTGGACCCTTAATGTTGCCCAGCATTCTGACCACATCTCTCTAGTCAATCCATTCTCCATAAGGATTCCTAGATCATTCAAATCCCCCTTCTCCCCAACCCTCCAGCATTCTCACTCTACACTGATTGGCTTGCTCGCCGCCTCATTGAGAAAACAAGCCATCCCACAGACACCCACTTACC